TCTTAGCTGGTACGAGGCACAACATAAACGTCATGACTTGGAATCATAAGATAAGATTGTGCAAATTGAAAATGCTGTGTCAATTCATTTTAAACCGTAAGCATCGAATGTTCGATGAACGTAGAAGTCCAGGATAGAGACAAGAGGTTAAGATCTGGGTCTGTTCCATATCATAATAACATATTGTCAGTAACAAACGTTCAAATTTTGCGAGTCAGATGCTAAACTTTAAAGATTAGGCGTAAGGTTTCCCCCCCCCATTTTATTAGCTAAAAAAGTCTAGTGTAACGTTCTCAAACAAAGGTTTTTTTTTCATATACATTTGTGACGATTATTTGGACAGTGAGCAACAAGATAAGATAATCTTTAACTATCGTGTAGATAAGTGTCTTTTTATTCTCAACGAGGTGCTTACAAGATCTAGTTATATTTAAGTTGTTTCATCTATCCACATTACTACAGTCAACCCTTTCTAATCAATACATTGGGACCACACAACCAAGTCAGACATGACTTGCATTTACAGAGAGCGAAACAATAAACTTATAAGCTCAGGACGAACTAGAGCATTTATATAGTGCATGTTCGGATTGGGAAAACCTATTACCGTTATTCACATGATACCGATACAGTGCATCACTGTGCCTATACAAAAACCCCCCACTTAAAATTTCTCGCATAGTTGTGGCTGGGCTATGCAAACCAATGACGTTTACATATACGTTACACACTAACCATTCACTCGCCACATATTTTATCACATTGACCAATTATATCATTTAGTACCAATGTCATTGTCGTAAGGGATACTGTTAGCCGCATATGAAACTTTTTTAATTATAGACCGCCGCGGTGATTGTAGACTAGGACTGAGAAAATTTCGCAGAAGAGTGTGACTATTAAACCGAGTTTATATTTAATGCGAGGTGATTATAAACAAAGGGACTATAGACAGTAGTCTACTGTATTAACAGAATAACAATTAACCATTTGACAGCTCAAGTAAGCTGGTTAATAAGCTTTTACCTGATGCAAGCAGATGACTTACTGCTTATTACTGGCGAGGTATTGCCAACGGTATTCCAGTTTTAGTTAGAAGATCGCTGAACCGTTGAGAAATTGACGAAGAAATACTGAGCAAATGGGTAAAGCAGGAAAACAATCTTGAAAGTATTTGTTAATGGAAAAACGCAGTCAAATGGAGCAAATAACAATAAACAAATATTTAATTAAACAATAGATCATTTTTACTATTATATATCTCATTGCTGCAAACTGATAATTACACACACGATTGTCTAATTTCGATGGCAAGAGTTTTTATTTGTATAACAGCACATGTCGTTTTAGTAAATGACTGAGAAAAATTAAAACTAATATCGATGTTCAATAACAAAAAAAAACGTCTAAAACCAAAGTCTACCAGACATTTTTTGCCAAAGTATGAAAAAAACAACTAACGTTTATTGAAGTAAGCGATATAAAATACGAATAGATTCTAGTTAATTTATCCGTAATTTGAGATCCCGAAGCCAGATTTTGGTGCCAGGTTGACAAAACAAAATTTTTGATGTGGTTCTGCCGTATATTGCTGTATTGGAATGTAATGCTGATGGAACTTTGGACGCGGAAGTAAGCGTGCGAGCAACTACAAACGCTCTACCAAACAAAATAAAATGTAGGTCAGCTTACGGGCACAGGTGTTACAAAGCATTGCTGTGTAGGGTAATTGCATAACTGACTATGTCACAACAGTTTTGAACGACATATTTTACCAAAATATTTACTATTAGTATTCTTGTCTATTATTAAAAAATACAACTCTGAGCGAATTTGTGACGTTGGAGTCATTTTTGCATCAGCTTTTTGTCTCTCAACTTTGAGTTATGCGATTAAATTTGTAAGGTAGGTAATTGTTATGTTATTAGCAATAATAAATAATGTCCCTCCTTTACCCAACGTCAACAGTTCTGCCTTATCTTTTTACGAAACAACACTTTCACAATTTTGTACGTTATTAAACACTCACTGTTGTCAATAATTACTGTTCGACAATTCAAGCCAAAACATTTATCGTTAAGTACTGAAAAGCGCACTACTCGATACATTTTATAATTACATTAAAACTTCTGACCTACGAGATGTTTTCTCGCACTTATCAGGTTTTTTCTTTCATAATAATGCTATCTAAATGAACCGGCAGTCAAATTTAATCGGTAAATTTTAGCATATCTAATAGAAGTTTTGTATCAATGTTACAAAGTAATTACTACTTTCATTGAACTTAGTGCTTGGCGTCCAGGCCGAAGTTTATAGACAGTACAAATAATGCGTACTTCACATTGGCAAAGACATTTGCTTGGTTATATCGAATCGTTGAATATTTGAAACGTTGAAGCATATTAATATACATTTTTAAAAAATTAATTTCGTCAGCATAGCCTGCCGACAATTTTAAATAGTTTATAATTTCTATTTTAAAATAATTAGCTTTACAAAATAGTATATACTGTCAAAGATAACCTTTTCTTCAGGTTTAAGAGCTCCCCCATGATAATTTGAGTATTTTTTCGCCTCATTTTCGGTGTTAATATCATTTTTATTGAATTCCATAATTTTAATTCCTATATTATATATTTTAATATTAAAAAATCAAATAATAAAGAATTTAATAGTAATAGAAACAAAAAAACTTACCAAAGTAATAAAATTTGCGGTTGACTGAAATGTCTTTATTCATTATCAGTATAGGTTGGTCTTGGACAAGTAATATCCTTGAATTCATCTCTAAACAAATGGGCGAATATATGATAAAGATATTCTTGCCTTTTATAATCCAAAAGAGGCGGAGTTAAAACTAAATAGAAAAAGATTTAATTTCTTTGGTAGTTTCAGAAACACTTGCTTTTCTGGTTTTCAATAAATTAAATTCGGTATACGAACCATTAGCAACCAGCTGAGCTTTGACAATACCAGGTTTGGCTGCTTCGAATACAAATGTTGATATTTTTGTAAACTGCTCAATTTTATAAAGAAAATTCCCAACACGGAGTTAAGATCTAAGTATTGAAGCCTTTTCCGTTTTCATAGCACTGAACTTTGTTTAACCCCGCTCCGCTGTGCTTGATTTTTTCACAACCTCAACAATATGATTCACACAATCTACAGTTGTTTTTCGGTACAGCTTTTTAATTAGTCCGAAACTATCATCACACTTGAATTTAATATGCCCAGGCAAGCCCTCTCTATATCTGAACAAGATATATTTTTAATGGCCCAACTGCAAGCAATGAACGGTGGCGAAATAACTGCCAGTCGACGTCTTAAAATAAAACGCGTACCAATAAGCGAACGTTTTACTACTGAGATCGCAATACGCCTCTTTGTCAGAAAACTTATCTCAATATGTTAGGAATTGGCCGCACTTATTTGGAAAACGTCAGAAATCATCTAACAGCATATGGTATAATCACACGCGTTCATGGTAATATCAAACGAATACCGCGATGAAAAACCAAAATAACCATTGATATAACCGTTGCCACCGCCGTGAAGAATTTTCTCGAAAACTATGCTGAAATTCATGGACTACTAAGTCCCGGTAGAAATGTCAATCGCATTACTCAGTCACACTCTTGCCAGCTGAAACGAGTTACAAATCAGTCTATCGTGATTTTATTGCGCATTGAAATTGTTAAAATATGATGCGTTTCGCAAGTTATGGCATCAATTAACGCCTTAATGAGTCCAAGAACAGATTTGTGTGACACTTGCCAACATTTTCGGAACGGCTTACAGTATAATGCTCGTAAGGAAGAAGAAGCAAGAGATTTACTAAAAAGATACAAAGAACATTTAGTCAAAGCTAAATTGGGGAGAAACTATTATAACAAAAATACGAAATTAGCGGGACAACGGTAGACGAGCCGTGTACAAATACAAGGTTGTGCAAATACAAAGGAATCAGCTTAAATCCGGTTAAGTGTAACAGCTTAACCAGATTTAAGATGCTTCCTTTTTATTTGCACAACCTTGTATTTGCACACGGCTGAATTCTCATTTTTTAATTGCTGCACATTTTATAACGATGGGTAAAGCTTATTGTAGCATTGACGCGACTGCGCATTACAGTTACGATTGAGCGCAAAACGTTCACGTGCCCATTCCGATCAACAGGTAAGCAAAATTTATTATCTCAGTCCGTGTAACGTACATTTATTTGGTATTCAAGATGAAGCAGTACGCGAACAAATTAATTATGTTCTTGATGAAGACGAATTATTGGGAAAGGGCCTAATGGTACACTGAGCATGGTATTTGATGGAATTAAACGATTAAATAAAGGTGAGAAATATTTAAAAATTACTTGTGGCAATGCGGGTGGTCAGAATAAAAATAATGCTACCATTTGATTTTACCTATATTTAGTAGTTTGTGGTCATTATGAAAGTATCGAATTAAATTTCATGGTGAAATACTTCACGTAATTCAGCAAACCCTTCTCACGGAATCATCGTTGAACAACTATAATTGCAACCTATATTCAAGAAACGCATGGCTTTTTCGTATTCAGCGTTATATTCGTTATTTAACATATACAGATAGTCTATATATAATTTTATCATTTATCATTTGTAGTCATTTAATAAGCTCTTGAAAAGAACGTGTTTTTTATTTACATCTCAGATTTATCTGCACGTTGATTTTGACTATTAACCCCTAAAGTTTTGATTGTGCACGATAATAACGCTTTATAACATAACTACACAAATGTACAGTATATGCCATTGCTTTTGTTGCAATATGTATTTTTATATTTTCGCTCATTTACTCCAAAAAGGCAAAGATGCATAGCAGCACAATGGATGTTAGCGATCTATATGCGCCAGTCTCATGATCTATGCATCTCTAAACAGCCATTGTAGGAATGGATCTACAGTATATTCCCGCAAGCGTAACAGTCACTTCTAGTGATGTAGTCAATAATTACTAAACACAAGTTAAATGCTATCAAATGAACATGGTGATCCAGGACAGGGCGTCCCAGGATCAAACGGTTTGTTTTTTTTAGTTGCTTTCGTTTTCTTTAGTGGTGTGTCCTGTACTGACGTTATGTGAAGATTGTTGTCTTCAGTTGCATTATTTGGCGTAGTCACCTTATTGAATGCTCTCACCGTGGAAAGCACGTCAGCCTGTAATAAGTGTGTCACAATTATGCATATTAATATTGAAATTCATCAAATCTATTTAAATCCTTTACCTGCCAATTCATCAGGTCTGTAAGTGTGCTACCCAAATCCTCAAAATCCCCGAATGAGACGGGAATTTTGAAGTGCAAAGAGCGCTCAAGAATATAAATCGATGGAGTGGGTGTAACCATGTATTTTACTTCAATGTACCCGTCTGAAATCACATATGCGTTAGTAATGAGACTTACATTACCAAGTTTTTGCTTGTCATACATACTGAAGGACTGCACCAAATAAATGCGTGCTTGCTTCCGTGGCACTGTTCGCAGCAGTTTGTTTAGGATTCTCATGGCATTTCGGCACAATTTGAGACCGTCCCCCTCCTTTTTGTTGCAAGAAGTCTTCCTCGCACGCGAGAACTCGATCATTATTATCGTCTGGCCCTTGCCAGTTGTTCGTATTACTTTGAACACCCCGTCAATTTTGTGACTTTTAGTATCCGGCGTTTGGTGCTCAATCCTTACAGAAAGAAAGGATAGAATTAGTGGTATTATAACTAAAACACAATTGTAGAATTTATGTTACCATGCGACGTCTAAATCATCATGGTGCATCCTATACAGCCGGTTTAAAATATACACAATGGTATCTATGGCGAAGGTTCTTTCATAGTCAAGCCCTTTGTATTCGACTCTCATTGGAGCTTCCAACCGAACGGAACTATTGAGGAATATAAAACAGTATTAAAGACTGCTTAATGTTAACATACAGGAAATACTGTACTTACAGATGGGTAGAAATTTGCTGCGCGATGTCATGATCCTCATGGAAAACCGGGTCAAACCTTCCAACGACGTGGGACTTGCGGACAAGGCTCGGAATCTGTGCTCGGGTACATGATTCCTCTGTAAATTGAGCGATATAATCTTGAAACTCAGGGGTCGGCTTCCAAACTTTTCTCTGGAGGAAGTTCTGAAGCCAAATAGCCTCATCCTCAGACAATGATGTTGTAACCTCCTTGTACATGCTCTTATCTGTCAAATCTATGATGCCATTGAGAGATATGGATGTCATAAATGTTTTTTGGGCTTCCTTGTCTTGGCGTTGGCGTGCACGGAGAATTTCCAGCAATTTATTCCGAACTGCCGCCTCCTCCTAGAACATAGTGAGTGAGCATGTATATATTATTGTGCATAGCAAGAACGATACTAAATGAATACCTGTGTAATATTGCGGACTTCATCGTTTTCTTTCATGTTAGCAGATTCCGTTTCTCCGGGATCATCGATATTTTGTGATTCCAGACTTGCAGAAAAAGCTGATACAGGACACCTTTTGTTTTTGACCTGTGCTGATATTTATAAGAAAAGGCTTTGAATACAGAGGAATCTATGTCGACCTACCTTCTTCTTGACACTTTCTGGACGTTCATGTTCCCCAAAATCTTCGGTACTAAACCGCCTCTTACTGGAAGCCGCATGTTCATCGTTTATTATTTCCAAACCATTATGCGTTGTGTCTTGCTCTATCATCCCACAATCGTCGCGACTATAATCAATAGTCACCTATCGTTTTTGGGAGAGAGCAACACATCAATATTAACTATCCAAAGTCATATAGCGTTGAACCAGAAATTTGCTTGTTATGGTCACCTTTTCGGAGTCAGCTTCATCGCCACGGGCGTTAAGGCCCTTCCTATTTCGAACCAACTTGTCTCGTTCACGCATGAAATCACCGACCTCATCTACAAGTGCTACTTTGATATTCACCTGGAAATCCAAAGTCGAGTGTTACACACGTGGTTGGAGCATCCATAGCATTCAGTTTTCATTTTTACCTTGGCCAACACCTCGCTCAATGTTAACCGAACCTGAGACTTGGCTATCTCATCGCTCCTCTCCCAAATAACTTCAACAATGTCAGATGGTCTCTACGTGCAACGTATACCATAGAAGGAAGACTTCAGCGTAGAACTTAAGGCATTGTCGAAACGTCACACTTTTTAAACTCAGCAAGTACGATATAATGGCAGAAGCATTCGTTAGTAAGAGAAACCGTCCTCTCTCTATCCATCGGTTAAAGATCTTCTGAAATAGAGACCTACGTCCTTTTAACAGGTCACATCGCAAATATCACATGTAAGAGTGAATCCATCATGCTTCTCTAGAGGTCATATAAACCCCTCCATCTGATAGTCGAGCGGGATAATCCACCTGACATTTCCGTCTACACAAGACTAACCTTGAGTTGTTTTTGTAATGATCGCGTTTTGTCTGCAATCTCTTGATCACCGACTCCGGAAAGAAGACTCAGCTCTTTTCCTAACGAAGCATGGGCTGCAATCCGGTTCTCGTGCAAAAGTGGATTTTTTTGGATCCAGTGGATGTCGAAGGATTCAATGGACCAGTCACGCGTATTGGTAATTGACCAATACTCTGTAGGACGAGTTTCAGTCAAAGACAAGCTGGCACAGAAAGTGGACGACTAATAATATACCATACCTTTATAGAGAAGGCCGGATGGAAGCGAGGGCATACTTGTGCGCAACGTCATATCGAAAATTTTTTTGAATCCACCAACTTGGTGGACGCGCCTGTCGTAAATCAGATCGACCAATGAATTAGGGCTTATCGTTATTGTCAATCAGCTGAAAAAATTTTGCGCGAAAATCGTTCTTCTTTTTTCTGACTCTTCATGAGACTCTTTTGTGTTACGAGGCGCACTCTTTATGATATCGTCAGACATCCTACTGTACATCCACATTTTGATTGCGTGAATGACGCTAGGCAACAACTTAATACAGCTCTTATATAATGAACCAGTTGTCCCGGGAGGTCTGGAGCTCATGAAGTTCATCCTGTACACTCAGGGTTGAGTGAGTACAAAGACGAAAGCAAGCCCGTGCGTTGAACCGGTTTGAGCGAGTGATGGAGTCGATATACCGATATCGCTTTGTTATTGGTGGTGTAGATAAACAGAGCGCTGGGGATACGTTTCCGGACCCCTACGAACACCAGGGAAATCGTGCGTAACACTGCTTTGTATGTGGTTCTGTTGCTTGTAGTCGAACTAGCATTTGAATAACGGGCGATGCAGTCATCATCAATTCAGTCAATTCATTCTCTCCGAGAACAAGCTGTCTACATGGGATCGAAATCTAATTCTTTCACGAAAACGGAATCAGACGCACGTTTCATAGGATCCTTCCTTTCCTAGCCGCCGATTACGACATACGAAGAAAGCACTGTCAATACACAAGCAATCAAAGGTCAGTTCTCACAATATAGAGACGTCAGGCGGTTTCATGTCACTACGCCCCTCGACGATCTCGAGGAGGGTTCAGACGATCTCTGACCCGATGGGGAGGAGAAGCACGGCGGTGTCACGTATGTGATTTCTTTCGTGTGTGACATGTGAACGGAGTGTAATACGCCCCTCGACGATCTCGAGGAGGGTTCAGACGATCTCTGACCCGATGGGGAGGAGAAGCGTGGCGGTTTCACTCGATTCTTCCACGTTTACACTCCATGCGCTGACGTCAAAATGTTCCCATGAGAATTAGTATTAGAGGTTCTAGGCTAACCCTTCTTTTTCCCATACTATGTATGATGCGAGAATGGACTGTTGAAATCGTAAAAGTTCAGTAGGCCCCAGTTCGTTGAAGGTTTAAGAGCTCATGTCGAAAATAGTGTTGAAACTGCTATGGAAGTTAATATTTTTCATATATTGAACTCGCCTTTGTCCCCAACGTTTGAGTTTTCGAAACAAAAAGATTCTGACTTTAATCCCAATGATCTGAACATTGGCCTTGGATAACCAGATTTCACTTGCCGAAAGTATGATGGTCCTAAAGATCATACAGGAAAAAGGATCATCAGCATACTATTCTTTGGGCTCACTAAGCTAGTTTTTTTGCTATAATCTCTTACCCATTTTCTACCCAAGATGCAAGGTTCTGGATTTGGGATTCATTTTTCATTTGTAAAAGTTGAAGCTCCAATGCTGCCCTGCCTGAGGTCTTTGATCTCACTCTTAACTTTGCAATACATTTCAGACAGGCTTATACTATCATCAAGTTTTCTCTTTGCATCAATGAGTTTTTTAAACCCGTTCCAGAGTGTTAGAATGTCTCCATCATATGATTTGGTTGGTTTCAGAGAGTGATGTTTGTCATTTGGTTTGAACCACTTGAGATTATCTCCTATTTCATAGAGGCTCTCTTCAATACCATTGAGTCTGTCAACTACCACATTATGTGCAGCAGCTTGTTGATGGTTGTTGATATACAAAAGAAAGCATGCAAGTGTAAAATCACATGTGAGCTGCTCTTGGTCATGAGCACCCAAGTGAGGAAAAGTAAAAGCATGAAAGCTTTTGCAACTTTGTAAAGAAATATCTGCAAATGGAAATCATTAGCATTCTCTGCATGCACACTTTTGTCAGAGAATGATAAAGTATAATGATAATGAACCAGTTTTATTGAATAAAGCTTTTTTAAAAATGCATATGCTTTGCCTGCAATTAGATACAGTCTTTTATGCAAGTTGAAAATATGTTTATACAAGTGTTTTTGTTTTGGTGAATGTTGCTTTTATACCTGGATGCTAGTTGCTCATTTGTATTTATAACATAGTGATAGGTCTAAAATGCCACTAAAAAATAGTCTGGATTGGTGCATGAGCCACAGCTATAAATCAAGCAAAGCCTCACCAAAATATCATCAGCTAAATTAGTTCATTTTTCAGCCACATCAGCCTCTTTTAGCTCACATGATCAAATTTTCATTTTGTTGCAGTATGCCCCATGTATGTCACATAATCAAATGATCACTTCTACTTTGTCTGGTTTTGTTGCAGCATGCCCCAATTGATATCTTAGTATTAGAGAATGTTAGATTTTCGATGTACAACAATCATTGGCTTCCAGAAGTTTTGCGCCAAGTTTTATTTATTATGTTCAATCTGAAAGTAAAATGCAGTGTGCGAATTCACACCACGTGATAAATCGAGATGATACCAAAACCCAAAGAAAATATCGAACTTTTTATTATAAATGACGAGCAAAATTTCCACTTCATAACCATTCGATTTGTTTACAAAAATTGTTACAATCGTATTATCTGTCAACACAATCGTGCAAAAACGACAACGTTTTACAGATGAGAAAAAACGCCAATCGAGCTAACAGATTGATGACTTATACCCTTCTCCGTAATAATCTTTATTGGTAAGAATAGAAGAGCAAGCGATAGAATTAGTCAAATGGCTTTGGTTCGAGTATTTTCCTCCCATGCAATCACTCTGGTGCATTTAGTATTATTTATATTTTCAAGACGCGCATTTAATAATTAAAATAATAAAATTTATACTTACGAAAATTGAATTATTTTTACATGTTTGACTTTTTATTGTAATGGTGTCAAAGTAGCACAATTTGATCGAGCAGTATTATTAATCTTTCGTCAGCAGTCGTTCGACAGTGGAGGCATTGGTGGGAGCTTTTATGTTAACCTGCTTTTGCTTATGTTTTTTGTTTCTTTTTCGATTCATCATAAGTTGTTGTTTATTAGTTATGATTTCCTTTTCTCTTAGTAATTTTATAAGTAATTTTTTCTGAATTTAGATATTTTGGATATCATTAATTTAAAAGCACATATTAATATGGAGCAATTTTTTCTCCTTTTTTTTTCTTTTCTTTTTTTTTTTTTTTTTCAAAATGCTGAAGTCGTCAATTCTTAGCCAGGAGACATCACTTTCTCCATAATTAAGAACATAACCCCAATAAATGACGATGCAGGACAAGGAATGGAAGTCGTAAAAAACAAAGAATGACGAATAACGCAACGTATTTTAATCAATTTGCGTAATTTTTTTCTTTTAATTTATACATTAAACTTTTCTATTCAAAATTGGGGGTTTAAAGCAAGATACTTTAGGAGTTACGCCATTATATTATATCAATAGTATAAAAAACGTCTGCATTTTGCCTCGAGAATGTGGTTTAGAATGTCAGAACGTATGTAATATTATTTTACAAACGATTAATTCCTCAAATTTTGCCCCACATTAGGAAAAAAACGTTATAATACTTGAGTAGTGTAGCGCATCTTTACCCGAATTATTTACATTTACTTACAGCTTAGTCACACAATTTATAAAAAACTTGGATTGAAAGTGTCGACATATGAATTTTGAAATTTGAATTTTTATGACCAAAACAGCAGTACATGTAAAGGTAAAATATTTAGTAATTAGTGTTTATAATACATTACTTGCAGACATATTTTCAACTCATTCACTCATATTCCTCGGATATATATATCCTTAACTGTAATGGAATAATAACCACTATTTGAAAATAGTAAAAAGACAGACAGCTTAACTAATGTCAAAACATTTTACTGTATTGAATCTGAATTTTTTTTTTTTGCAGAACAGTAAAATGCAAATTTGTACCGCACCCGTGGCGGTGGCTGGGTTTCAGCTGATTGGTTTAATCGTAGATGCGATTGTATATTAAACCAAATAAACATAAAATGTCTATTTAGGCTAACATAACAAGCGTAAAGCATATAGTAATAGTAATAGTAATAGTAATAGTAGGACTTGGTTTTACATTATAAGAAACTGATTGGTTCGAATAAGCAGTTAAGAAATGAAATAATATAAACGTTATAAAAAGGCAGACACGAAAATAATTGCGTTGCTCATTCATCTACGAACTATAAAATAAATAACAAAAAATGCCAGCTCACCCAGTGTTTCACACATTTCTTACCAACATTCAAATTCAAACATTTCCATTCCGTAACAACTAAAAACGTGCACATTTTGAATGTTATGCTACAAGTCAACCGAGACCATCAAAAGCACAAAGAACAAAACAAAACCTCTACTGTAGAAAGTTCAGTTGTTATGAACATTGCACTATGCCCGGCAGTCGACCGGACACAACAAACTTATCTAGTTATCTATAACAATCTGAAATGTGGCTTATTAGCAGCTTAATAGTAATGGTTAGAACACTATAATTTTTATACAAAGGTTATTTAATGAATGACGCATACAAAAACACTCAATTTATCCAACATTTCTATTTTTTACAAAGTGTTTAATCCAGAAAAGTTATCACGCAAAGCATGAGATTGATTCGATCCTACGGAAAACACGTCCACAGAATTGTTCAAACATACGAATGCGAATTATTAATTTATCCGATACAGAAAGTCTATTTATTTGAAAGTATATTAGCACAAGAAATAGGCTGATATTATTAGAATAATAACCAAAGTACATTCTGATTCTGCTTGTAATGCCGTTACTAGGGTTGAATTACAAATCTATAACAATATTCTTGAACATTCACAAGCAAAGTAATCACATAAGTAATACAAAGTCTCGGCCATCAGTTTAATTTCGGGATAAATAATGTAGTTCTGACTCGAACAATTATAATTCTTGAAAACACCACTAAAAGGACAAACATTTCCGCGTCTTTTCAGTTCTTTTACATAGAGTGTCATTCCCGATTTTTTCCTTCATTTTTTTTTCGAACATTTTCATTGACCAATGTGTTTAAATTTTTATAATAATTAATCCGTTGTAAAAAGTATCCCAAAAACAATAGTTAGATCGAATAACTTCTTCGTTTGTTTATTTCTGAGTTCTGCATGATAATGCTATTAAAAGTCTTTAGATATTTCAGAAGTTTTTGATCTCAGTTGTCAAGTTACGGGTAAATTTCGTTAGTGGACGATGGGTCTTTTTTTAATTCATTTTTGCGCTTTCTACTAGATATACAGTAACTTCGAAAGGTCTTTTGTTAGACCTTAAGTTAGCGCATCTCCTTGAGATATTATCGTAAGATGTTTTTTAATTCTGTCAATAATTGACGACGTATCAATCCAGAAGACGCAAAGCCCTGATTCATTTTGCCTAGAAAAACTGAATTTAACATGACTCAAAAGCGATCGACCCCTTATTGGAGAGGAGTGTTACGCAATTCCACAAACAGTACAGTATCAAGTCAGACGTTAGTAGCATGTCCAAGTGATAGTGATAAAATGTATCTAATGTGAAATAAAATATCTGCAAAACCAAGACTCGAAGCTAACGAATACCAACTGTATTAATTTAATGGCGCCAATTCCAAAGGAGTACATGAAACAGACTAAGAAGAGTAACGGAATGTCCTCCAAGGTTTGTATTGACTGGCCACAACTTAAGCTCCATAGAAAATGTGTTGACGTCAAAAAATTAAAACTGTTTATAGCCCAAAGAATGTAATGCGTGTCCCAGGAACTACTACAATAATAAAAATTTAATGCAATCGATGAAAAAGAGAATGAGCTTTGTTTTAGGGATAGATTTCTAAAATGGGGAAAGTAAAAGGCTAAAACGGAGCAGAACGTAATCCCGCATTTGCTGCCATACAAATTTGACTAATGAAATTGCTCCGCTTTAGACCCCAAAAAAGTTGTAATTGTTACACTCATTGTGAAAGGTATGTCAGGTGATGTGATAGTTGCATGTACTACACAGTCACTCTAGATACAGCCTGTCAATAGCAATAATAATGATGACATCGAATGCCTCTGACAAGGAATGGTTGGAACAGAATCTGGAAAACGAAAACATTCGCTTCTATCCTTATGATGATTTAACCGAAAATCGCTGCATAGGCCATGGTGCATTTGGCGTAGTTTTTAAAGCGACGGTAGCAACATCGGACATCACTGTTGCTTACAAATTGATCATACATTCGGACGAAGACGAGTTCTTCAAAAGCTTTGTAAACGAGGTTTGTAATGATGCATGATGGAACTGCTGTTAGGCCCATGGAACTGTAGTTCTTATCTGTTGTTTGCTTCGTGATGACTATATTTTAGCTCAAGATTCATCGTAGGGTGGATGACCATCCCAACATCATTCGGTTCCTTGGCATTAGCAAAGGTAACGGTGAAAAGGTTTAATGTGTTGTGAAATAGGCAGGAGCATAATACGTTTTCGACCTTTTAATAGATATCGATGGAAGATACTTGATGGTCTTTGATTATGCTGACAACGGGTCATTGCGGAAATACTTATCGACACCAACTATCAAACTAGATTGGCTTGCTAACTGTCAACTGGGTTTGGATATCGTTAACGGACTAAGATATATTCACAAAGCAGGAATTTTACATAAAGATTTGGTAAGAGTATTATTTATTCATACAATTCCGATCTTATTTAACGTTAGACGTAATAGTAAGCTGATGTATTGTTTTCTTATGTCAACCATCAGTCTTCGAACAATGTATTAATTCATGGGAAAACGGCTAAGATCACTGATTTTGGGATATCTGAAAAAGTACTACTACAAAAGACTGGCTCGAGTCACCTAGGAGCTAAAGCATATCTTGACCCCAAGTGCTTTAATGGCAATGATAGTAAACGAGATGAAAAATCAGATATGTTTAGTCTTGGGATTCTTCTATGGGAAATATCCAGTAGAAAATATCCATGCAGTGAATTGGACAGTATTTCTGACATTCAGCTTTATAGACTGGGTGGTGGTCGCCATGATGTGGTTTCAGGCACACCAGAGAAGTATAAAAACTTGTACACTGAATGCTGGGATGATGAGTCTACAAAACGGCCAACCAGTGAAGAATGTTATCAAAGATTAAAAAATATCATGACTGAACTGAATGCATTGCCAACACATGATTCTAGCCAACATCCCAAGATTGAAGAGCACACTCTTTCTAATGAGCTGTCAGTATTATATAAAAAGTTAATGCTTGGGAAATCTGTGGAACAAATAGCTGATTATTTCAAAAATTGGCTGACACAGAATTACAATAAACAAGAAAGTTTATTGGCCAAATTAGAGGCTCATACCAATTGTGGACAGTGCTTTTGGTTGATTGGATTCTTTTATGCACATGGAATAGAAACAGAACCAGATCTTGGACAAGCTGTTCAATGGTATCAATTATCAGCAGAGACAGGCAATGCTTTAGCACAAAATCATCTTGGTGTTTGCTATGAGTATGGGAGAGGAGTGGAAAAGAATACTCAAAAAGCAGTTGAGCTGTATCAGAAAGCATCTGAACAAGGAAATGCCAGTGCACAATCTAATCTTGGTGTTTGCTATGAGTATGGGACAGGAGTGGAAAGGAATATTCAAAAAGCAGTTGAGCTGTATCAGAAAGCAACTGAACAAGGATATGCCATTGCACAATGTAATCTTGGTAATTGCTATAGGAATGGGAGAGGAGTGGAAAAGAATATTCAAAAAGCAGTTGAGCTGTATCAGAAAGCAGCTGAACAAGGAGATGCTTATTATTATGCACAATATAACCTTGGTGTTTGCTATGAGAATGGGACAGGAGTGGAAAAGAATATTCAAAAAGCAGTTGAGCTGTATCAGAAAGCAGCTGACAAGGATATGCCATTGCACAATGTAATCTTGGTCTTTGCTATGGGAATGGGAGAGGAGTGGAAAAGAATATTCAAAAAGCAGTTGAGCTGTTTCAGAAAGCAGCTGAACAAGGAGATGCTGTTGCACAAAATCGTCTTAATTTACTCAGAAATAAATAATTTACCAACTGATTGGAGTTATTAAAATTTTGAGAACGTTTTCTGGTATATTAATATGCCTTTTAAAATTATTTCTACTTTAACAACATTATTACCAAATTTGATCTCTTGTAAATCTATCAAATTACTTTGTACATGATATAATAATAAATTAATGCATTTGTCATTTACATTGATAAATCCATTATGTTGGATTATTATTATGGGTTTTATACCTTGCTCTTAATTAAACTTGCATGTTACAAGAGATTCTTGCTATCGTTTAATTAAATATGCAACATGTGTACATAATAATAAACATATTGACATCAAAAGACTTAAAGGTAAGAAACGCGTTCTAGTTCACAGTACTCCCCATATTAATATTAATATGCCCGTCATGTACTTGGTAAAAGCAGTGTATTATCCAACATACTAAATTCTATTGAAATAATCTGAGTTTCAGATAAACCTCTCTATGTGCACGTCTCTAAATGGACACTCTCCCTAAATGCACAGGTCCCGAGCTTAGAGCTTAGTAATAAATGCACGCAGTCTATCCTGCACATGTACTGATTTTCGTTCGGTCCGTTCATATAAACTATTACTATTACTATAATCAATGTGCATGCAAGTAATCAATGTTTCTATTGATCCATTAGCATTATATTATTCTCGTTGTAATCAAATTTTGAATCGTGTTAATTACGGTCGACACTCCCTAAATGAGACTGAGAATGCGGTGCACTTACGGAGTGGTAACACATTCACGTAATAACAAGCGTTATATTAATATTGGTCTAAAGTTCGATTGTCTAACCTTTCTAAACATATTTGTCCACATTTCAATTATTCTTTCGTATTTTTTTGTTGCAATAAGAATGCTTGTACAGTTTCCAGGCTTTTTAATGCAGTACTAGCGCTATAACCGTTATTTCAGTACTGTCATCCGCGTTCTCTAAATGATTACTATTCTCGTCTTTAAAAATCTCAGCAACTTTTAAGATTTCTGAGCGCCCTGCAAATTTCATCAAGAACCAAATCGTTAATCGCATGGATGCCATCGGAAACGTTTTGTAAGTTGACATCATTAGTTTCAGAATGAATGCCAGTATGCCGCCAGCATTGATGTATTGTTTCAGCCGTAATCTCTTTACTAATGTATCGAATAGCTTGAAGGACATCCCATTTTTCTGCTGTTTTATCTCTTGTGTTGCTCTAACATCCGGCTATAAATAAAATGTAATATTAAACTCTCTCTTAATTTTAGCAGGTACAATACCGAATTTGAAAGCCATTATAATTCTGCCATCCATAGGTTGGACCTTCGTAGTCATATTAGGTGGGATAAAATGTATGTTGACGTGCTGAAGATTCAAACCTTCCAGTCTATGGCTTGGACAATTATCTTTGACGCAATTATCTCCATACCAGCCACTTGTTTATTGACATTTTAGATTCACTCTTCGAACAAAGACGTACCTTACTATTATTTCGATGTCACTGGCAGGTGATGAAGGCTGATGTTTTTAAAACAACGTGGGTTTTGCATATTGACCAATGACTAGTGGATCTAATTATGTGACCCATCAGAGTTTGCACAGAACGCGATAGAAAGATATTCCTTATCTTTTTGCGACCGGCAAGACGCTGTGTGGCTAGCATTATATCTGGCTCTAGTCTATAAAATTGGTGTAATATATATTATATTTTGCGTTGAACTATTTATAAAGACATATTTACTTACCGATAGAAGGGAGTTACCGCATATATTACGCAATTGTGGTAAAGCCTCAGAAACTACTTTCGATCAACGGATGCTCCGTCTCTGTGCAGTTTAACTCGGTGAATATAGAGACGCTTTTGAATTTTTGAATTTTTGAAGCCAACCGACGGAGAAATTTAATGCGCCTTCAGGGATCTCTAGTTATTGAATCTAAGAACGGTACGAGACAGAAATATTGATTCAGACGATGAGACATGCACAGATGAGGACGTAGACGATAGTGAGAGTGATTGTGATGATGTAATAGTCACGGAAGACTTTGACGAGGAGGAATCTGTGCCGTTACTAGATTCAGAAACACCAACAGTCAGTAATTGGGGGTTTGTTGTTTGTGGACAATTACAATGTGCAAGACCACATTGCTAAATGCAAGCGATTATATAAGTGAGCGTTCGCCCATCAGTTGACATGTGTGCCCGCTTTGGCATTATGTGATTGAACACTCTGGTCAACATGCCAAATTAAAATTTTACAAAGTTACAGTATATTCAGAGTATGCAATTGGAAATACATAACAAAGGTCTCCTTTGAGTGTATTAAGCTACAAAACAATGAAGCCGCGTTTCTCCAATGTCTAATGAAACCGAAGTATGAACGCACTTGATATTGGAACCTTTTGATCCTCCAGATCACAGCATCGCTGATATTGTTTTCTTTATGTAGGCTGAAGATTACGACCGCATAGTTCCTGAAAGCACGAACGAATATCTATTGAAACGATGCTTCGTGTCTATGTAATATCTCCTTAAACGCCTTCAGTAACTGGCTAGATCATTAACATACGGATATTTTCTTCACTTCAGTTTGACTTATCTGAGGCGACCCAGGCATAGCCGGAATATACTAGTGCCATTAATAAATGCTACTATCGAAGCTGACCCAGACCTGGACATTGGCTAGTGAGTCATTAATAAATATGCGACATGTTCTATATGTGGCTATACTGAATAAAGGAACTTTTCTTAGCAGCGAATTGTGTTTGATCGTCGCAACGAAGGACGAGATCCTTTACTTCACGCGAGATTAGGCTATGAGACTGATGTGAAGGTAAATTTTGGTGGCTATATGGAAGAACGGAAATCGCGTGGCATTCCTCAATGTTCATTGGCAAAGGACTGACGTGATAAACTAAAACTTGCATTGGAACTGCGAGATATCTGGTGCCACGCACAAAAAGAGTTGCAAGGCGCTGATACTTGCGATCTGCTTTCTGGGTTTCCGAGATGTTGGTGAGCATGTTGACAAAGGCTATATGTGGTTTAAAAAAATATCGCTTTCTCATTCTCATTCTGCACGTTCTATTGCACACAGCGTTCAAGGTGGATTATAATGGTCTCGTTCCCCATACGGGCCTATTCATCTCATCCTTGTCGATGAAGTTTGGAAATCATCGTCAAAATACGACGTTCGTAATGTCCAACCGGCAATCGAGGCATTTTTGTCTTTTTGTAATAAGACCATTTCCCGCCTCTTAGAACTGGACAAACTACAAGCTTGATTTGGTGCAAAGCGAAAAGCAGTCTCCTTGAAAACTCATGCCAATTTCCTATCATCAGCACGCCACAGAAGTCAACATCAATTAACGTCCACCGAAAAATGATGACAAAAAATGGACTAGTCACTGTCACAAGACAACACGAAAGGAAACTTAAAAAATAGCAGCCGTGTGGTATGGTCTTCCTGTTTTCGTACGAAATACAAGTTGTCATTATACGTTCAATAGGATTAATTTTCAAACCCACTGATTGTGATTTTCGCTCACCTATTCTGCTACCCAGTCTCATGTTCACCACCTTCTCATTCTTTCGCGTTTCTTTTTCGCAGAAGAATCTCTTTTTTCTTTTTCTTACAACTAAATGGATTTGAACCTTTTGGACGATTATGTTTACATTTATTTGATAGCTGATCGCTTTTAGCCGCATCTGGATTCGCTTTGTGGAGGAACAAGATTTCCTTCTGAGGCGGAAGCGTTCAATCTATAGAATCAGATGTAAGAATAGTATGGATATAAGAAGCGTGTATAATGTCTCCGCAAAAGCAATCAAAACAATTCGACATAATCGTTCACTGACTCTCGTTTTTTCATCAAGAACCAATTTATATATATCAATGGAAAACTCCTGGTATGTCGCGTAATTGCTCACGCAGATTTCGGTTTTGGATCGCGATACAATATCTGCGTTGGTTTTCACTACCTTACAAAAATTTATATAGAACTGGTGTTATCTCCTCAATTGCTGATTACAAGTGATTGCATAATATGATTGTATAATATTACGTATTATAGATGCCAAGCATTCATCGCGTTTCTACCTGAGCGAAATCTTCAATTAAAAATTTGGGGACAAAATTTCGGTTACTAGATTTTGGTTCACATGTGTACGCGATGAAAAGAATATAACGTTAGAGATAGGATAGAATGTCAAAGACAGTACAACTATTAACGTACTGCGTTTACCAGTAAATATTCTAATGTTCTATATTTTCTCGATGCTCGAATTATTCTATCGTCTCGGTAAAAGAATACCAACGAAGACAAATGACGGATGGATAGTTTATTATTTACAAGGATGGACAATCTACTGTGCAATTGTATATTACCTTAACGGTTACAAACTTGTGACGAAAATTAGGGGCAGCAAGAGCGCCATGTTCATGAATCTAAAACAATAGCGAAAGAACAAATAAACATGTAGCTTTATTTACACTTAGTTGAGTTACAAAAAACTTTCAAAGCTACAGAAAAAAATCCCTGTACAATAATAATACAACAACAAACATATCAGCTGTTTCCACACCACATAACCATATTCCTACACGATAAGTTGACTATCTTACAAAATACTGGTGAGTCAAATCCGCATCGAGGATGTGCCGGCAGCATCCTCTTCTTGCATCGACTCAACTATACGTTGAATAAACTTATGGAGAGCTTCTTTAAATGTATAGTTGTTGGGTTCTTTGTTCTCCAAATGGTATGATAATAATTCAGAACGCCATTTTAATCGTAACTTTGCTTTCTTCCTGTTTTGGAATACACCTTGCATAAATGGTGTAACTGTGCTCAAAACTGGAATTTGATATTCAACTTTAAGTCCGAACAAATCTGCCAGATATGCCTCAAATAGACTCTTGATTACCGAATTGTCTTGACATTTTCCAAATAAACACAAAAACGTTGCTTTTAACGGCACGTTTGCTTTGTAGTATTCATTGAAGATGGTAATCGAATCCGGCCAGCGCGAGTCTGATGAACGTTGTCGGGCTGAAATTTCCTCCATTAGAGTAATAGCAATTCGAACCGCTGTTACTTCTTTCATCAAGTAGCTAGCCACTTTCGACTGAGCTCCAAATCTGATGATATATCGATACATTATAGGCTTGTATTTCAGACGTGTAAACGGAAGCAAAATAGGCCGACTCCTGGTCGTATGTTTGCCAAGCTTGTGCTTGGTAAAAGCAGAACGGTATTCATCTACGGAACGGACGATTTCGTATTTCTTAAAAACCGATAAAATTTCCGCTTCGGAATTCTCGATTTGATTGAGTATAAAATCGAGCGAATCGTGCCCCGTAAGACCTCTGTCGGGATTCAACAGCTCAGTCAGACCGATCGAGATTATTTCCCTTCTATTCACGCATCGAACAACTGCAAACGCAGAAAGCAGTGTTTCTCCTATATCGTGCAATCTATGCTCGAATGAGATCAACGCGTCTCCAATCAAGGCATCCGTCAGTTCGAATCCAAGCGATATCAGACTGTTTAGTTTCTCAACCACTTGCTGTAAGCTTGGTTTGACCCAATGTTCGGAAGGATTTGGTGGGTAAAGGATAAGTAACGATCCTTGTATGACCAGATCGTTCACATCGTTGACAATCTCATGATAGCCAATTTCCTTCCAGACCTTAACCAATTTGGGATAAATGAGTATCGCTCGAGCAATGACATTTAGTTGTCCGACGTCTTCATACCCATCCAAGGCTGGGTACTCATCATTGTTAGCAGTACGTAATTTTGACTCTGTATCCGAGTATGGCCTGAGCCCGATTTTCCCATCTTCTTTTTTCTCGAGAACGTGCTTTCGAACTTTTGGTCTGGGAGGGAACGGGGCAAATTTGAACGTCCGAATCAACCTCTTGATATCATTTTTGGTTTCCATCAACTTTGTTCGCGCTTGATTGATAGGCAATGAACAAGCCGAGAGATAATAAAATGACTCCATGTCGTTTCCGCGCACCGGAATATCATTTCCCTCAAACCGATCATGACCCTCCTTGAGGAGTCGGCTAAAAATGTCAAAGGGAAGATTGCTTGCCCACGGACTCTGGATTTTGTTTTGAATAGATTTTTTCCGATTAGAACCGAACGGCCCCGTTTTGTGTGCTGATTGGAGCTCAATAAGCCTCCTGTCATGGGAGCCAAACCCGAGCACTAGTCTCTGAATAAAGTATCGGCTAATATGGGCGTTTTGAACAAGTAAAGATTCGACTACAGCAAGATTAATGAAGGGCTCGCCCATTCTTACTGCATGAAACAATGCATGAGTTCTACCATATCTGCGGATTAGCCACCTGGACTTTGTAGAAGGTAAATTTATAATGTTATGCCACCCACGCGAACATCTAGCAAGTAATGTAGGATTGTTCAAGTGAATAACAATTTCTATTTTAAGTTCTAGCGATAATTCATTCAAATACGTCCATGGACGTAAAACTATCGTCACAGGACGGTCGAACCGTCGATTAGAAAACATTTCCATGTTCTAATTGCAACAATACTAATTATTTGTACCCGTATAATCAAGGGAAATTTCGCAAGCAGAGAGCCTTGCAATCAATCAACAGAGAAAGTTGGGGCTTATCGTTATGTGATGAACATTCTCAATATAGGAAGAAAGTCACACAAAACTGGCAGCTTACAGATTTGGGGACATAAAGAGAACACATTTTTTCTCGGTTCGCCGACAGCGATAATAATAAATAGTTATAAGCAGGCAATTATAAAACAAATCTGCAGACTAGTAATGGCAGATGCGCTGGGACGCAAACTTGTCATCAGTTAGTACCCTACCCGCGTTAAAAATTACTGGTTGTTAATGTACTTTCTCCCAAAAACTCACCGCGTAATATACGATGGCATCTTCAAATAATAAGCCTCGAAATATTATATGTTCTTATACGCGTGCGCTAATTCTGTATGTTCTGATGCTTTTCCCGTTATACCGAATTTTCGTTATATCGAAGCAGACATCTCCACTCCTTATATTTAATATTTAATATGATTGTTATTACGAAGTTTGATAGTAAACCTCGTTGTTTCGTTACCGAAGTCCCGGAATGCAGGATTTTTGTATAATTGATAAGTTACTTCTTCGTTTAGCATAAGGTAAATTTCCAGATATAAACTAACTTTTTTTGATTTTTTTCTGATGCTTATTCGTTCGTCAAGTCGTTCTTTTCCTAATTCATTTCCGCACTAACGCTAACCTTCAAATATCCATTTATCGTAAAATTTTGCGTTGATCTTTGCGCTGGATTTTATATACTATACTATACCCACCCTGCGAGACGGTGCTTTTATAATCGAATACTGTAAAATTTGTCTTACGATGCAAAGAATCTCAGCTACATGACGCCTAACCATTTAAAGAATTACATAACGACAATCAAACATGCATGCCCCTCCTGCACACATTATTATCTTGTGTGACAAATCAACATGATAATCACCCTGCGTGTAATATGTTATGGAAAAATTGTGTCACCCATATTTAACATTTATTTATTAACCTGACTAATTACTAAAATAAATTCAAACGTGAGGAAGAATGATAAGCTAAAAAAAAAGTCTTAAACCATCTGATATATTTATCATTAATAATCTCAAAAATAGAAATAGTCTTGAAGCGCTATCTATCAATAATGGCTGCATGACACTTTTACGCCTTGTATTATTTAAAATTAATCGTGCGAAAATGAAGAGATATGGCTCATACAAGTAAAAATTATATAAACAGACCTTTACGTTTTGATTCTGTATAAAATATGACAGCATAACAGCACAACGGTCGAATTATTACTCTATTCCTTTAATAATAAACATATTTATTGGTTTGAAA